GCATCCCCGGAGAGCTCATTCAAGCAGACTGTGCATCCTGACTCCGGAGTTTCTGGCTCAGGACTGTAGGGGGAGCCTGAGAGTATGCACTTCTAACTAGTTCCAGGTGACGCTGGTGTTACTGGTCCTGGGACCATACTTGGAGACCCGCTGCTTCGTGAGGTCACTGCAGATCGTGTCCACCTGTGTGAGAGGACAGTTGTCAGGGTTAAATGAAGATGGGTCCAATGCTCCGAGCTGTGAGTGATTCTGCTATGCAGGCATAGCCGACCTGGAAACATGGCCCATGCCTTTTCTCCCTGTTTTGTGTGCTGCTTGTGTTTTGTTTTTGTAATGAGCCACTTAGCAGGAACCTCTGCCCCCATTTCAAAGCCAGAGGACCTGTGACTTTGGAGGCTGTGTTTGCCCTGACCTAGGTGACGTGCTCTTTTCGCCTCTTCTGGAGACACCTCCACTATCTGATGTGGGCCCTCGTACACTCTCATGTGATGAGCTCCGTGTGTGTGCAAATGGGAATGTGCACACATGAAATTGAAGGTTTGGTGTCAGCGCTGTGGCTCCTTCTTAGGGAAGGCAGAAGGAACTTGCCAGCCTTACAACAGTCCCACCAGTAGAGCTGCTGTTCCCACTTACGTATGAGGACGTTGAAACTCGGCACAGTGGGCAAGCTCTCTCAAGCTGTGACTTAGGTCAAAGGGTAGCTGTGAGGATACATGGAGAGATGTGCAAGTCTGGGACACCAGCAGCTGCTCCATCACTCTGGGTACCAGAGCCTCGTGGACAAGACCATACATGCAACAAGCCTCGTGAACTATGGCCACGTGCCCATCATCACTGCAGCTGTGCTCCCTGGACCCGGCCACACGGGCAGGTCTCTGCTTCTCTCTGGGTGTGTCCTCCTGAAGCTCTCAGAGTAGACAGTCTGACCAGGGTTGCTATGGCAGCACTCAGCATGGCGTGGTCCTGCAGGGTGCCTCTCAGCTGTCTGGCCCTGGCTCAGTCAGTCACAGCCAGGTGTCAGCCTGGACCCTGCTCCAGGTGCAGACTGTAGCAACACGATGCTGAGAGAGCTGCCTGGGAGCCTTGCCCCAGCGTGGGGTGGCTCCTGCCTGTCTGTCTGTTCGAGGTGACTGAGGCAGCTGGGTCCTCGGAGGAGCACACAGTTTGGACTCAGACAGACCTGGGGCTGAGCCTGGTTCTGCCACTTAAGTCAGATCCTCAACAATAAATTGTGGCTGTCGCCCACCACACAGAGGGCTTATAAAGACCAGTAACAGTGCTAGCATCATGCCTGGCACACAGTGTCTGGACTTGATGAATAATAGGACTTGGTCTTTTATCTAAAAAAAGCTGGAAAGATGGAAAAGTGAAAAAAAAATGAGTTGGTTCTATCACCCTGACACTTAGCCCTAAACACTGACTGTGCTGTTTTCCGTTCTCGTGGGGACTCGTCCGTTGTTTAATTTGAAGCTTTATGTGCTGTGGGGCTATTTCCGTCCATGGTTTTTTTTTTTTAATGAACAGTCTGTTTTATGTGGTTGTAGTTGTATAATTTTGCGTTCAGATTTCTTTCACATGGTAAAATATTTTTATTGTAAGTTCTGTACGTAATTTTGGCAGACGCGCTATAATTTACGTAAAATTACTTATTGTCGGACGCCTAGCAGTAGAGCGTTGGTTGACTAAGTGGTAATGCATTCCTATGACAAGATGCCGTTTAAAAAGGTGCTTCCATATTGATAAGTATACTTCTGCTGCACGTTCATGATTGTGTGTAAAATGAGACGATTTCCCTCCCAGCTCTCTCTGGACGGTCACTGCCCCGGGCTCAGCAGCGCTCACCCTTCAGTGGGCCTCACAGCCGCCCAGGGAGCCTGTGGGTCCGGCTTCACCCCTGGAGTGTGGTTAGGAGCCGGGGCTCAGGCATTGGCGTTTTTGCGAGCGTCCGGGTGACTCTGACGTGGGAATGGCACTCCCCCCGTTTCCACCTTTGAAGCTGTACTTAATTCTCCCAGCTCCCGCTTTCTCCTGAGCTCCCCCAGTGCTTTCTTGTCTTGTGGGTTTTTGTGAATCCTTCTGGAGCGTAAGACTTTTCTCCATCCTCCAAGCAAACCCATTTGGGCACGCACGTCACACCGCCGGGACTTGTGTCAAGCCCCGAGTGAGTTCCTGAATATAGATACTGAAGCATTTGGAATCCAAGTTCCACTTACTTTGTCGTGAGGAGAAAGAGGCCAAGCATGTCAGAGCTCTTTAGCACACCTGCTGTTACCAAGAACTTTGGGAATAAAGGGTAACCTTTCCAACCTTGATAGAAAAACAAAACTCTTGTTTAAATTACCCTCATCTTGGCAGGTGGGCTGTGAAAAGTAAACACCTTGTCCTTTGTGCATCTACTCTGGTCTAAGCCAGAGATAGCCCGTGTTTGTTGGAGAGGGTGATTAAAATGCTTCAGGAGGCCTGTCGTTCCAGAAGCATTGCGTGAGTGTCTTCCAGATTCATTGTTTGGTTTTCATTCCTAGACTTTGTGCCATTGGGGTTATTCAAGGTGAGTTTCCCATCTTGCAGTTCACTTGGGGGCCATTGGTGCTAAACTTGAGATTGAGTTACTCACCAGAGTACTTCTTCACTCAGGGTTTATTGGTTTGATTTCCCTCCTTCCTTCAACCTGATCGTACTGGGTGTCCATGGTGAGTGAGGTTCCTGTTGTCTCTCACTGTCCTTTATGTGACAGGCCGGCTGTGGCAGGTGGAGAGCTGTACATATAACGATTGTAAAGGTTCTGCTGAGATGACATGGAATGTTTTCCCTTGGTTGTGCAGGACTAGACCAGATTCTGTACAAATCTGTGATTATTCCAGCTTTAAGAGCATTAATAGCTACAGAAAAGAATTCCCCAGGGGCCGGCCCAGTGGCACAGCGGTTAAGTGTGCACGTTCCACTTCTCGGCGGCCCGGGGTTCACCAGTTTGGATCCCGGATGCAGACACGGCACCCCTTGGCACGTCATGCTGTGGTAGGCATCCCACATATAAAGTAGAGGAAGATGGGCATGGATGTTAGCTGAGGGCCAGTCTTCCTCAGCAAAAAGAGGAGGATTGGCAGTAGTTAGCTCAGGGCTGATCTTCCTCAAAAAAAAAAAAAAATGCCCAGAAGGAAACCTGAAGACCCGGGTTCAGTCGCTCGCTCAGAAAAAGCTCTGCCTTGCTTCACATGAGCACGTTAACCTTGTGGAATTGAAGCTCCAGGTGCCTGAGAATTGGTGCTACTGGGGAATGGAAGGTTCTGGTTAATGGAATCGTGCTGGTGGGAAACCACAGGAGGGACTGTACTTGTACACATGGCACACTCAGAATCCTCCTTCGAACCTTGTTCAGAAGTCAGCTTAAAACTCTACGTCTGCAAAGCTGTACGTGATCCCCGTCCTTGGAAACTGTTAACCATTTCTTCTTTTATTCCACATCCACAGCAGTACCTTACACACACCTCTGTGATCCTACATGTCACGGTCCGGTGGAATGATCTGTTTGCGCGTTGCTGTTCTCCTCTAGATCAACACCTCACTGGGCGTAGAGACTGTGACCCACCTGTCCAGCGTAATCACGGGTTGAATGCCTGGATTCAGTGATACTAAATAAATGGACAGGTGAATGAATGAATGAGGATTCTGCACTGAACAGGTGGCATCAATCAGATAAACTGCATTTTATGGGTGTTTTCTGAGAATTCCTGCAGTTACTAAATTTAAAGCGTCACCCTGCCATGACAAATTTCCCTAAAATATTCTTATAATAAATTAAGAATAAATAGTGAAAAAGACAAGTCCAGTATCTGCTTCTTCCTGGATTCCTCATGGCAGCTGAGTGTTCCCCAGCCTGTGGGACCCTGACTTAAGGAACTGGATCTGAATTCTGCAGAAACCTGCTCCGAGGTAGCCCGTTGGCTGCCGTTGATTCTGTTCCTGGGCTATGGAATTCCACCAAGGGCTCAGGTATCACAGAGGTTTGAACTTTGTAACATGTGACAGATGTGAAGCATACATTCCCCAGTCTCTCATTTTAAAGCGTTTGTATTAGAAGGGCCAGATGATTTTAGATTTGAAAGAGATCTCTTCACCTCACTGATTAGGACACCGAGCCTCTTGAGACGGGCAGCTTTCGTCTGTGGAAGGAGCGCCAGAATTGAAGTGACAGGGGCCAGGACTCAGATCTTGGCTTTGGGGCTCAAATCACAGCCTCTTCCAGGCCGTGTGATCATAAGCAGTTTATATTTAGTATTTTTTGGTGATCAGTTTTCTCATTTGTAAAGTTTGGTTGAAAATCCATCTCCAAGGGTTGTGACAAGGGTGAACGAGGACCAGCTGTGATGTCGCACAGACCAGATGTCTCTGCCCATCCTTGCCTGGATCACAGCATCTGTGGCGCAGGGAGGCGTTGCCCCGAGGCGTTATTAGGGTGGACTGTGGTTCCCAGGTCACCTGACAGGACTCACGGATGTCAGGGACACCCACTGCAAAGAGCTGCGTTACACCAGCATCTGAATACAAGATCCGGGATTTCTCACTTTAAAAGCAATCTCTCTTCTGAGTCACAGGTTTTATTGCTGTTGCTCTCTTCACTTTCCTTGCAGGGAGAGTTATGGCACCCTCTCAGTCAACAGCCACTATAACGTAAGTTTATATAATTGTGTGAACTGGCAAGATCATTTCTATAATGCGCTAAGAACTCAGAGCAAAGTATATACATATTTTGGAAAAATAAGATCTACCTAGCTTAAAAATTTTTTAAATCACATTCTAAAATAGTTAAATATTTGTGCTAAATTGAAAGGGTTTTGGCCAGCAGTGAGCCAACTGCATTTTAAGCACAGAATTTTTTAGGTCTCCGTGAAACGTCACTCGGGGGAGAAGCTGCGCCCTTTGCTTCCTGTTCTTATTCTCCCAGAGTTCGTTTATCATTTTAAAAGACAGCTTATTTTTCTCCCTTTTTCTCTCCTGTAAAGGCAGAAACCTGTGGGTTCTTGTTGTGGGGCGCTTCCCAAAGGAACACAGAGTTGGGATTCCGGAGTTCAAGTACGTGGCAAACATGCATGGAGATGAGGTATGTACGCGGCTTGAATATCTGAAATGTCACCAGAGGAACTTCCCCTCAGGTCTCTGGAGCTCTGTGTACATGCTGAGGAAGCAGCATAAATCGTAGCAACGAATCTGGAAAGGCCATCGTGTTAGGCCTTCTGAGAGAAGCAAGGAACCGGGGTCCGGCACCCCTCACAGCCGTTTGGTTGTTTGCCCGGTGCCCTGGGGGGGTTACCTGGAGCTTCTCTGTGCTGGGCCGGAAGAACAGCCAGGCCCCAGCTCCGCACTGTGGCCGCGTCCCTCACCTCCTCCTGGTTGATCCTTCCACCTCCTGGTCCGCAGCAAGGTGAACCCAGCAGAGCAGCTGTCTTATATTTCAACTCAAAACAATCAATGGATCTCCAATAGCTGACCAAACTCCTATTATTTGGCTTTTTAAATGCTTTCATTGCTTTCTCTTAATCTAATCCTCAATGTTTTCAATGCTCAAGTGTAGACTTAGAGAAAGTTCTCTCATACCCACCATTCAACCAACACTTACGTTCCACAACAGGAGCCGGCCCGGTGGCGCAGCAGTTAAGTGCACATAGTCCCCTTCGGCATCCCAGGGTTCTCCAGTTCGGATCCCGGGTGCGGACCTACATGCCGCTTGTCAAGCATGCTGTGGCAGGCGTCCCACATATAAAGTAGAGGAAGATGGGCACGGATGTTAGCTCAGGGCCAGTCTTCCTCAGCAAAAAGAGGAGGATTGCCAGCAGATGTTAGCTCAGGGCTAATCTTCCTCAAAAAAAAAAAAAATCTGCAATAATGTCTTGCCTCTTTTCCAACTTAGCAGGGATAAATTCTGTTTTGTGTTATTTATTTTATACTTTGCAAAATACTGTTTTACCTCTCCTGCCTGCATGGTCCTTCTGGCCAGGCATTGGAAGATGCTCACCTCTGTTTCTCACCTGACTTCCTCAGAGTGTTTAAAGAACATGACAACTGCAGTACTTCCTGTTAGCGAGGACCCTGTACAGCTGGGCAATCAAGTGGAAAGGAAGACAGTTCCGTCATCACAGTAAAGGAGATGTACGTGGGGACATGCGTAGCACCTGACAGGACGTGCTCAGCTTCGGGGAGTGGCAGAGTCAATGCGTATTCCAGAGTACCACCTGCTGGCTTGTTAAAACACTCCTGAATTTGCAGCAGTGTGGGGGGCGTGTCTATCAAATGCTGAGCTTCCGGTTCTGGCCTAACCCTTCCCAAACCCAGGCTCTGTAGGAACTGGATCCACCCCTCATACCGCTCACAGCCTGCCTTTTCCAGGCATACCGCCCCACCCACCCTGCCTGGAGAGGGGGCTTCCTGCAGCTGGAGCTAAGATGCAAACACCTGCCTCTAAGAAAGGGCTTGGTCCTTCAGCCTGATTTGTGGGTGGGTGAAGTTCAATCCCCCTGTGACTTTTTGGAGCATAACAGGCTGAGCTTTAAGACACTTAATCTTACTGGGAGTCTGACCAGAGCTGTTTTTAATAAAACAACTGTTCATTACAGACAGCAGTCCAGATGTCCTAGTTTATTGATTAAGGTGCCGTGGAATCCATTTTTAATAAGAGACATATGGCCCTCATTGACATGAGTAGTTTATTTACTGAATTCCTGGCATTTCAGAGGTTGCAGCTTGCTGCTCAGAAATTAATCCTCTGAACTGACATTTGCAAAGAGAAGCAGGAGTCTTTCCCTCACTCACCCCTGAGTTTGCGTATTCCTTCCACGTCCTCTCCAGAGTTCTGGCATCTTGCTCTCCCGTTCATTCCTGTATCCCGTCAGTCAGGGCTCTCGTTCACCTGCTTCTGGGAGGAGCACTAAACAATGAGATGAGGCAGGGGGAAAGGTCCCAGTGTATTTTGGGGTAGGGACCTGAAGTCCCATTACCTCTGTGTGTCCCACTGATAGCAGTGTCTGGAGCTCCCTGGGCCATTGAGAAACTTATTATCCTGAATCTGAGATCTTATATATTCTGCCCCCAGTGCCACTAGCTGCTGGGGAAGGTGATGGCTTAACCCAGGAGCAGAGGGTCTAGCCACCTGACTCATCTTTTTTCTCTCAGATCTTTTGGAACTGAAAGAGCATTTTCAAGAACCCGCTATTAAAAAGCAACATAGCCAGCATTTTAGGGCAGTGGTTCTTAACCTTCTTTGGATGGATTTTTGGCTCTTCTGGCACAAACTTTGAATGCTGACCTCGGGGTCCACGGATCCTCTAGGAGTTTGTGGACCTCGTGTGCAGGATCCCAGCAGGGGGCTGGTCGCACGGTGGACAGAACTGACCACACTGTGTTAAAAATGTTTCTTCTTGTCCCTGAACCCCACCGCAGAGTGTGTGTATGCACGCGTGCGTGTCACACTTAATACCCTGGCTGGATCACAGTAAGCAGTGGCAGCAGAAGGACCCAGTTCTGTTGGTGATACCTGCTGTTTTCCCCCATGAATTTTTACCTCATTTTGCCTTGTTTTAGAATTGCCTTTTTAAAATTAAAAATAATGTTATTATTACAATGTTATTATTACAAAATCAACATATGTGCATCTTAGAAAAAATACAGATCAACAACAACAAAAAAAACATTGTATACTGACCTTCCAAAATTTAGGACTATTAATTCTCTTATTTATCCTTCCAGATATTTCTATGTGTGTGTGCACTTTTTACCAATGAGCTGTGCTAATTTGCTATTTGTAACATTTTTTAAATATTAGCTACTCTTTTCATGTCAATAAATATTTATTCTGTTTTCATCTTATACCCCACTGTCTAGTTTCCCCACTTGTCCTCAAAGTGTCCCCCAGATTGTCCAAATCGGGATCCAGTACAGGACCACGCATCACATTTGGTTGATATATTCCGGAACCTCTTTTAACCTAGCTTTTAAAGCATCTTTTCATGACACCAGACTTAAGAAAGAGACTTGCTCAGTTGTCCGACCTCCAGTGTGTCACACATCCTGGCTTTTGTGTGTCCATCATTGAACTTGGGCCTCTTGTCCCTTTGTTGACTTAAAACTGCATGTTAGATCTAAAGGCTTATTGGATTTAGGTGAAACATTTTTGGCTGATATACAGCTTAGCAATTGTGAAGATGGGTTAGTCTGGCCGATGCTAAGGGTTTGGGCTAATTAATTAGCGTAGCTGACTCAGGAATGCCAAAAGCAAACGGGTAGCAAAATCAGCTTAAAATGGCCCACTTGCAGATAAGTATTGTTACAAAAGAGGTGCAGGTAATCCTACTCTTGTTCTGTATGAATTTCCCTTATTCTTTCATTTTTACGAAGATCAGTGTCATCCTACGAGGGGTAGGGCCACGTGCTGGATGTTCTGGTTGTCACACTGGCTCACTCTGCCACGTTGAACAGGCTGGCAGGTTACCTTCTATATGGTGCTTTACAGCAGAATAACGACAGTCACCCTCTACTGGAGGGACCACGCTGAGTGCTTCATGGGCATCGCTTCTTTTGATCCCTTTGCAGAAGGCGAGTTTGTCAGTCCCGTCCCATTTACTGAGAGGGGGTCCAGGCTTGTGTTTGGTCTTAAGCTGTCAGAATTCGGAGCCTGGACACCGAGCCTTCCCCAGCTGTGGGTCTGCCTCCTCCACTCTCTGCTGCCTTTGAAATGTTGTTTTCATTGCTAACATTTTTACATGTAGACCTGTGATCTGTCTCAAAGTGATTTTGTTTGGGTGGATATCTAGTTGTGCCAGTGCCATCTGATGAGAAGATCTGGGCTCATTCACGGCGTAGAGGAGTGCCGGCTCTTACTGGGGTTAGCCTTCCAAGTCGCCTCGCTGGCCCTTCCTTCTGCCCTCTCTCTGCTGCCCCCTCCTGCACAGCTGCAGAACCACACCCGGCTGCTAAGAGCACCGCCGGCCTTTGATAAGCCTTTGTCCCCTGATGGTCACGCTGTTTCAGAACAAGGGAGAGAGATTTCTGTGCTTCCACCTTTCTCATTTTAATAAGACTAGCAGGTGTTCTTCTGGGTCACCCAGGCCCTTGTTTGCACACGCACTGGCATGTTTCGCTGTAGAAACCCCAGTTCTAGGTGCAATCTGTGTAGGCTTCTAGGTTCCTGGTTGGCAGTGCGGAGACCCCTGAAGTCTAATCGTTTTAATTAGAAGGGGTAATGCCAGCCTACTGAGTGGGGAAGCTTGTTTTGTGCCTATCTTGTATCCCATGTTTTTTAAACTCTGTAGAAAAAAAAATTCTTAACCTTGGTAATCTCTAGATTGTTAAGACTTTCCTAATTCCTCTCTCATGGAAATATTGAAGCGAGACTTGACTATGTGCTTAAAAGGTTGGGTGCTCAGTTTGAAGCTAACCCGGTGCCAGATGAAGTGCGGTCAGAGCCAGGTTGCCTGGGTTCCCTGACCTCAGGGCCCACGGTCTCAAGTAGATAGGAGCCGGGATTTGATGTGTGTTTGTTAAGTTTAACTGAATTGCCAATTCGGGTTCTTTTTTCCCCATAGAGTTTCTTTTAAGCTCTGTTTCTTAAATATCAATGAATTATTTTTACTATGATGGTTTTTTCATGTATACACTTTTCAAGTATCCACATCACACTCAGAATTTCACACTTGGTGGCATTAATTTATAGTTTATTGCATTGCAGATAGATAGGTTGAAAGGAAAAACAGTCCCTGGATGACAGTGACCATATTTTTCAGTCTGAAAACAAAGGATAAAGGATAAATGATTTTCACACACCTTCTAGGTAGGAGAGAGAGTTGCGGAGATGTAGCGTGTAAATGTTTGTATTTAGAGAGTATTTTCATGGTTAACCTGAACAGTAGGACATAACATCTGAAATTGTGTCCCTCCTGGAAAATCCGGGATGTGTAGTCAGCGTGCAGCAGAGGTTCTGAACTCACTAAAACAAAACAACAAAACATCAAAGCCTGTCCTTCCCAATGCCGCTTCCCGAGCAATTTGTCCACCAGTGCCCCAGCTGAGAGGAAAATGTCCTCAGTTACACAGTGGGGCTTGCACACTGAATTCTTTGTTTTTGGATTTAGACAGGACTGATCTTTATTCCAGGTGAAGCATCTAATTGCCTTTAAGCATGTATTAAATTCCTCATATAATCGTCCTCTTTCTCTTCGTCTCTCTTTTTGTGAGGCTGGGCCATGGTCACCAGATACCCTGAGTCCTTGCCGTGATCTGAATTGTTAGCCCCCAGCCCTGTAAAATTCCCTCAGTGTGGAAAATCCTTCAGACGAAGTCCCTTGATCATTTGTACTTCCCCCCCCCCCCCCCCCCCCGCTGAGAACCTTAAGTTCTCACGTTTTCAGAAAGCTCCTCCTCAGCATGGTCTTGACGTTGTAGTGGGTTTGTCAACAGTAATCAATAGTCGCTCATTGAGTATGTGATATGCCAGGCGCTGGGTGGGACTCAGGGCTACAGGGGGAGCTGGTCAGTCCAGGTCAGCTGGCTGTGTAAGGTGTGTGAGCAGCATTAGGACGGCGTGGTGTGGGGTGAGGGACCACATAGGCAGGTCAGGGAACCCCGACTTCGGGAGGCCAGGAAAAGTGTGCTAGATAAGGTAGTATTTAGGCTGATATTTGAAGAAGGATTTAGCCAGGCAATCCAATAAATGGATTAAATCTTTAGCACGCTATTGTGGAGCCCCAGAAGTGACAGGCTCCTTTGTGCCCCAGAAGCTGCATTACAGGGTAGCGTTCCAGAAACAGAGTCCACCGTCAGAATAGCTGAAGTTTCTGCGCACCTCGTGCTCTCTCAGACAACACACTACTATGTTGGGGACTGTTTCTTCAAAAAATTTCTTCCATTTTTTGGAAGCATTCTGTGAAGAGCTAGAACACTCATTTTTATCTATCTAGCAAATTCCAACATGATTTAGTTCAATGTGAATTGAGCTAAAACTGATAGAGAATTTGTTCTCTGCTTTCTGGGTTATCACCATTTTAACTGCTGGATGAATTGTCAGCAAAATACGCGGGAGCTGCTGTGCTGGTCTGGCCTCGAAGCCCCTGCGTGGGTGGGGTCCCTTCGTTCAGCCTGCACTCTCCAGGGGCGGAAGGCAGTGCGCCATCTGAAAGGCTCCTTCAGCTCATAGCACCTGTTTTGACCACATTCTTTTTTAAAATTGGGATTCTCTAAGCTTTCAAATTCAAAGACTTAATTTTAAATGAAGGAAGGTTTATATATAAAACATGAATGAGTGCTTGACACATTTATATTAAGTTTGGGAAGAATTAATTTGAATAATATTTGGCATAAATCTGCTGTTAGAGGCAGCAAAATACGGCCTGACAAAAAAAGAGGACTTTGTTTCACTTCTTCTGAAATTTCATCTGTTTACTTCAGCATTTTTTAAATTATCTGACTCTTAGTTGGTTTTTTATCACATCTCCAAGATTTTTATTTACCCTCTGTAGTGAAGAACTTAGGATTCATTTTGGAATATGGAGGCACACAGAAAATACCTTGGTTACACATTTGTTTCCTTGAAATTATCATGATTTTATTGGTTTTTTAAAATAACATGTTTAATTTAGAAGAAATTAGACAATAGAAAAATAAGAGAAAATAAAAATCATTTAGAGTACTGTCACTCCAAAATAACCATGACTAATACTAGCCAGACATCCTCCTAAACCTTTCTATACTTATTTCTGTAGTAAGAGGATGAGAGGAAGTAAAAGGGTATAAAATAAAATGTGTGTCATATTATATATGTTATTTTTAAGAAGTATGAGACTTAATTTTACTTGAATTTAACAGAACCAAACTGAAGTGAAACTAAAATAATTGGTCAACTTAATAAATATTTTCTCAAAAAAATTTATTAGAAGATTCTTCTAAGGAAAAAAGTAGGAATAACTTTGAAATTGTAGTCATTTCAAAGATGTACTTTTAACTTTTGTTGTATCTTATGACCCTTTGCCATGAGAAGTGAAGAAATTAGCCCTTTGAAAAAACCTCTCTCCTCTCGCCCGGCCCCACCCTCTCTGTTAATTATAAACCTTAACCTCACGTTCTGTTCCGTACCCAGGCTGTCACCATGGCTTAATCCAGTTCTATACCTTAACCACAGCTCCTTTACTCTCTGTTTTCATTTGCTTTTGGTTGGGTGAATTTCATTGCCAACTCGTGTCTTGAGTTCCAGGAAGAACTGGAGGATGATCTGAGTCCCGAGTGCAGCCCGGAGGAGGCCCATCAGAATCCCCATGTGGTTCCACGCGACTTTCCCTCCCAACTGTCTGAGCCATCCATTCTCCCTCTGATCGAACCATCCTACAGTCTCCAACCAGCACTTGGAAATCTCAGGAGCTAAAGTGGTTCCTGGCCATCCCTCTCCATAGCTTCCGCTCTTCCCCAGCCCCTTGGCAGAACAGCTCCTTGAATCAACCACTTTCCACACGTAAAGTCGCCTTGCACAAATTAACGTCCACGGCCCCTTCTCCACTGTTTCTAGGGAGCCAGTGAGCAGCTCGTGGAGGGTGATTCCAAAGAGCTGGAGCTTTTAAAACACGGAATTGGAAACCCAGCATGTGGGTTGCTTGACTTTTTTGATTATTAGTCTGACAGGACTTTTTCAAGTGAGATTTTTAACCATAAAAATAAAAATCAAGGTAGTGGAAGGAGATAGAAATGAGTAGGAAAAAAACAGAAGTCAGAATCGAGTATATTTCCACTCTGAATTTTCAGGCTACCTTTGAATCTGTAATTCACATATTCTAAGTTTTCTTAGTCCCAGTTTCAATTATTCTGAGTTTGTCAGGATAACGAATGCATCAAATGCGGCCTCTTTGCTTGCCAGTGAGGGGCACAAAGTGAGGGATTGCTCACCTTTTGTCACGACAGTGAATTCCTACCGTGGAGCTGGGACTGAAACCCTCTTCCTGCCCTCTGCCACATTAACGCCTCTGCAGCTCCGTCCTCGTGCCATCCCCGCTGGCCCTGGGTCCCCACTGACTAACCCTCCACAGCCCCTCATCTCACGTCGGAGGTAAACGTTCCACACTCAGAAGCAGATTCCTCGAACCCAGGACTATAGGGAGAGCTTGACGTAGCCTAGTCAACCCTTTCTAAAATAAGGCTGAAATGTGAAATACTTTTTTTAAGTAAGAAAAATAGTAAATCTCTCCCTTGGGAATTGTATAGCAATCAGTCTTTCTCACAGGTCCTCAGTTTCCCAGTCGGTGGTGGTACATAAGATAATTTTAGGTGGATGTGACCATTTTTATTTTCATGGTCATGCTTTCACTTTAATGTACATCAGAAACATATATCTAACAAAACGGTAAAGACACAAAGGTTTTCATGTTTAATGTAAGTAAAAATTGAGCCAATTTAAAGAAAATATAAACTAAACAATAGCACAGATAATATGCAGATACGGCAAAAAATTGTGAGAATGATGTGCAGATGACTGGAGTTTCAGAAACATGAGGATGTGAAGATCAGAAACCCACAGATACGGCAGAAATTGCACAGATGTGCAAGAGGGAAATTTGGAAGTAGGGGAATTTGGAAATCTGAAACCTAGTTAAATTATGCTTGCTACAAACTTGGATTTTTCTGTATTAAAATCTACGTACATTGAATGCAGTGGTTCTCAGTCTGTTATCCAGCAAGACATACGTGACAGCTTTCATACACACCATGCATGCTCGTGGGCACAGAACCCCACGCCTTCTGAGACTCTAAAATTTAGAAAGCAAGTAAATTATAAGAATAACCTTTACTCCACTCTAATTCTTTTTTTGGTGAAGAAGATTGGCCCCGAGCTAACATCGGTGACAGTCTTCCTCTATTTTGTCTATGTGGGATGCTGCCACAGTGTGGCTTGATAAGCAGTGTGTAGGTCCACACCCAGGATCCGAACCAGCAAACACCGGGCCAGCGAAGTAGAGTGTGCAAACTTAACCGCTGTGCCACCAGGCTGGCCCGCAACTGTTTTAGATTTTTCTTATAACTTTTACTAACAATTTTCAGCACTCCAGAGTTGATCGCCACTTGCCAGAGTATCAATATGCGTGAGAAACAGTGGTCTCAACTGGTTTTGGTCTGAAACATCATGTGCAGATCGCTCGTTGGGGAATTTGTGCTTTGGGGACTGTGTTCCTCTGGCCTAATAGCACCCCATTATCTCTCAACACGCGCAGACTGTGGGGCGGGAACTGCTGCTCCACTTGATCGACTATCTCGTAACCAATGATGGAAAAGCCCCCGAGATCACACGTCTGATCAACAGCACCCGCATCCACATCATGCCCTCCATGAACCCGGACGGGTTTGAAGCTGTCAAAAAGCCCGACTGTTTTTACAGCAATGGCAGGTACGGGGGGGCTCATCTGTCTTTATGTGAAAACAGAAAACAGAAAGGCCCCCGTCAGCTTGTCCCCCTTGGTGCTGGTGGAGGAGCCGGGGAGCCGTGTCAGAGCCCGCGTCAGGTCACTGCTGGGCTGAAACCTCCTCAGGGCTGCCTGTTGCCATCAGATGAAAAGTGAGACCCTCACTGAGGCTTCAGGCTTCAGTGACCCCTGAGCCCGCCAGCTGCCCCCCTCACCCCCTCGCCCCTCTGCTCCCGCTGCCCCACCTCCCCCTCCTGGAGCTGCCCGCTTCTTTCTCCCCTCAGCCCTTTTGCACACGCCTCGCCCACTCCTCAGCCCACCTCTGCTCACACAGCATCTCCTCAGACTCCTCCCCGAACCTGTCGTATGTTAGGTCCCAGTCACGCTGGCCTGCCTCCTGGCGCCTTATCTTCATAGCACAGTTTTAAGGTCTGATTTCCTGTTTGATGTCTCTCTCCTGGCTACAGTAAGCTCCCCGAGGGTGGGAATCCTGCCCTGTGCATTGTGGAGAAATCCCCAGGGCCCGGCCCTGAGGCCCTCGGTCGTTACTGGTTGATTTTTTTAAGCCAGTACAAGAACTAACCACAAAGAAGAGTGAGTCTTGTCGGATTTCTGATTTAAGCAGCTCGTTTTGTTTCAAGCTGCCTCAGGAAGTTTGGAACGCCTATGTCTAATATACATTTATATTTGTGCAGTTATTGGCTTTTACCAAAAATAAATAAAATCTCACCACTTGATTCCCTTCAAGTTTTTCTAGCATATTGAAACACGGCCAGTCCACTTTTCAAAAATACGTTTGTATGAAGTGGCACGTTCCTGTTGTTTCTGTTATCAATTGCTATGTAGCAAACTACCCCCAAATTTTAGGTACTTAAAGCAACCACCCTCGATTCTGCAAGTTCGGCGCTTGCGCAGGGCAGGCCGGCACGGCTGGTCCCTGCACCGTGAGGTCTGGGCCCGGCTGGGGCTGGCCGAGCCAACGAGCCCGGCCCAGGTGTCTGGAGTCTCTGTTTCGGCTGTCGCCTGGACTCCTCCTTTTCCCGTGTGGACTCTCCATGTGCCTGACCGTGGGGTCTCAAAGAGTTCCAAAAGGGAGTGTTTCAAGAGCAAGAACCCAGAATGCACACACTTACCAACCCTCTGCTCACATGACGATAGCTGCTGTCCCACTGGCGAGGGCACGTCACGTGGGAGGGGACCACACACTGCATGGATGCCAGGGGTGGATCGTGAGAGGCTGCCCAGGCGAGCACCCACCACCCTATGTTTATCTTTGTAAAGACACTGGGAGCCCACGCCAGAGGGCTGCACACTGAACGAATCCGCTCCCTCACGTGCCATCAGTAAACCCTAAAAACTCTTTCTTTTAAAGGGAAAATAACAACTACTATGACCTGAACAGAAATTTCCCCGATGCGTTTGAATCTAATAACGTGTCAAGGCAGCCTGAAACGGTGGCGGTCATGGAGTGGCTGAAAACAGAGACCTTTGTCCTCTCTGCAAACCTGCACGGCGGGGCCCTGGTGGCCAGCTACCCGTTTGATAACGGGGTTCCAGGTAAGCACACGGGGCGGCTCGGGCGTCCTCGGGCTGGACTGCAACTGTGTACTCAGCCTCGGAGTGGGGTACCCTCCTCCTCTCCCCACGTAGCTTCTCGGGCAGGGCTAGAAAGCCTTATTTTCCCAACCCTGAGCCATCCCTGCTACAACCTGTAAACGGTAGATGACAATGTGGCTGATCTGACAGCCAACAACAGGGTTACGTGACACTCGTCGTGAAATAGTAAAATCGGGCATTTAGATTCTCTCACAGGAGAGACAAAGAAAATAAAAAGAAATGAAAGAAAATAAAACCAGAACAACCTTGCTTTCTTTGTTAATTATATGAGTAATAATTGCTGACTCCCCTTAAAACTCTGTGGGACGAGATGTGTACCAAGGACTTAAAATATCACAGTGGCTTCATCTAAGGCCGACGGTCCCCGAGGAAAGGTTACTGCCCTCCAGAAATTCGCATGAGTGTTTGAGGACATTTAACCTCCGGGCTGATGTAGGAGGAGTCTGGATGCGTAGATGGCTTATTTTGCGTGATGCCGCCATGTGTACGTTCATAGGAAGAAGAGTAGAGTGGACACTCGTGGAAATGGGCGGAGGATTTCTCTAGGAAATTGGCGGCTTTGTGTTTGATGTGGTGATGTACTTGCCCATTAGTGTCATGAGAGCCTCCTCTGTCCCAAACGTCAGCTGACAGGTCTTGGTCTGTCCTTCATGTACAGCAACCGGGACATTACACTCCCGGAGCCTGACCCCCGATGATGACGTTTTTCAATACCTCGCTCACACCTACGCTTCGAAAAATGCCAACATGAAGAAAGGAGATCACTGTAAAAACAAAATGAACTTTCCTAACGGGATTACAAATGGATACTCTTGGTATCCACTCAAAGGTGAGTTTCTCTTCATGCTACCGTTCTCCTGTTGCTGTCACCCAGAGGTGCTGGCTGGTTTTCGTTGACCCTGGCAGTTGTCAGAATGCGTTAGGCACGGTGCAGTCCCTTCCAGCATCTCTGTCGGCTAACACCACAAGAGCAGTGGAGGTGACTGACGGTTTGAGAGATGCTCAGACACGTCCCTCTCTGCCACGCCTCCTTCATCCGTTCAGATGCTCCTTCAGCATTTACCTGCTACGCGCCAGGAACAGTGCCAGGAAAGATGAACAGGACACAGGTCTTCCCCTCCAGTTTAATAGGGAAGAGCGACATGGAAAGAAATCATTGTAGTGGCAGTGTAATTAGAAGAAAAACAGAGATTTAGAACAGGTACAGTGTACCACAAGGGTATACAGCCAAAATGCAATAGGGAGTAGTGAAGACCTTGGAGAAATGTACTGTTTATGTCTCATCCGATGGGGACAGCTGCTAGTTAGAGCCAGTTAATTATTGCCATGTGGCAGTGCAATCCCAATACTGCTACATCTTCCTGTTTGTAAAACAAGCTGGATTTGTCTGTGAAGTTTCATGATTTTCAAGCCACTTTGCAGGCTGAACAAAAGAACTCTTCAGGCTGATTCAGCGCGAGGGGGCCCCCAGTTTTCCCCCCTTGCAACAGGATGGCCAGGTGAAAGAGTGGGGGAGGAGACTGGCTGTGGGAACATGGGAGGGAGATGTTCTTCTCAGGAGGAAAGATATGAGCAGAACCCCAGGGGTGTCAGAACTCATCCTAGTCTGGGAGCCAAGAGATAATAGGAGGGACCTAGGATGGAGGGGCGAGCGGGGAGACGGTTTCCATTGCCTCAGTGGAAGTGCCCCCTCGAGCCTGGCCAGCCTGCCCCTACCAGCGGCAAGCTGCAGGCCGCCCCTCTGCATCCAGGCCCTCCCCCAGTTGCCTCTTTGACAGCACAGGCTGTTGGGTATTCTTGCACAAGCTGATACATTCATGTCTGGGTGGCTCTCTGCCAGCTTTCTAGGTAATATAAACAAACAGAGACCATGACTGATAGGCAGCAGGGCCAGCTGGACACCACAGCATCCCAAACCTCTCTTTGCTGTCCAAGATGCAGCCTCCCTACCCCACGCCAGGCCTCCAGCCAGCCCCTGCTCGTCACTCTGCCTGGGGAGGAAAGGACCCCTCCTGCCCTATGGCAGAGCTGTCCTCCGTGTGCACTGTCTGTAACTTTCCAGACAGATCCAGATGTGTGGGAAATTAGCGAGGAACCTAATTTTGCTGTCGGGCATTGTTCCCAAGTGTACCTGTGTGTAGGCTGTGTATCCTTCTGAGAAAAAATGCGGGCCAGGCCAGCGATTTGAGGAGCTGAGGACAAAGCGTCTGGCTCAGCCTGGAGGTCACACAGCCAGGCCTGACGGCCTCATCCAGAGCCACACATGCTCTCCATGCCTGGCAGCCTCGGCCCGCAGCCTTGCACAGCGGCCATGCCGTTTAATTCTTTCCACGTGGGACACAGCCATCCAGCCAAGGGCTTTTTTTCCATGTTGTTTCTCTCTTCCTTTTTCCCCTCTTCTATTTCTTAGTGAAAACTAGGTCAGAGAGAAAGACAAAACTTATAAGTAAAGGAAATAAAAGGATGGAGAAGTTCTTCCTGGCTGAAATCTGGACCTACAAAATATTTAAATAGTATTTTGATATAATATTTTGACTATTTTCTTAGCATAAGATTTTTCTCTCCTTCAGTACTTCCCAAATACCCTAATGGAATTGAGAATATGCATCTTATTGGGCAGGTAATCAAGTATAACAAATTAAAATCTGGCAAAAACTACCGCCTTCAAAGTGTATATTTCATCAAATCCAAGATGCCATTGATTGTAAAGTACACTGTACTGCCAAGAAAGAAAAACTATTTCCAGCCAAACCAATGACACAATGAAGTTTTTCAGCCATCAAATTTAAGACAACCCCAATTCAGAGATTTTAAAATATGAAAAGTTTTGCATCTTAGAAAATACGAAGTGTGATTATAACCCTTTGAAATCCTGTCTCCGGAGGTGAGGTCTGCAGAGTGGGCTTGGGCAGCGGCCACTCCGTCCCGAGTCAGCCCAGTGCCCCCCTCCGTCCTCAGAAGCGGCCCCGTGTAACGGGTGAGAGCTCGGGACCCACGCCCCGCCGCGCACAGGCTGGAGTCCTGGGCACGGGGCTCCCCATCTGTGATTAAGGCTCCTCACCTGGAAATACAGGGAATGACTACTGTGAAGATGGAAGTGTTGATACGGAGCCCCTCAAACAGTACCCGGCAACAGGAACACTCGGTCAACGGCCATTATTATCCTTCAAATTAACGTACTTAGCCTTACGTAATAGATGTATTTATACATGGTTTGTGGAAATATTTTTAAAGAAATCTCATTCCATATCTGTTTAAAATGTAATTTGGGGAAGAAATGTAATTTGAAGATTCTTTTTTGTAATGTATGGTTTAAAAAAATGACCCTTCCCCATCCCCCTTAATTTTGATGCACAATTGAACTTGAGTCTGCTCCGGTCCAGCTACCCAGGTAGGAATACTCTGGAGGGCCTGGTCAAGCCTGGGAAGGAAATGTCGAGCCCTGCCTTTACATGCTAATATGGCAAACTCATTTCTTCCTGTTAATATGCACTTTCCTTGCATCTGTCTGATTTGCTTGTCTCCAAGGTACGGGATATTGGGTACATTCCAATTTTAGACCTTAAAAAAAGTTAAATATGCTTGTGTTTTAGGTGGAATGCAAGATTACAACTACATCTGGGCCCAGTGTTTTGAAATTACACTGGAGCTGTCATGCTGTAAATATCCTCCCGAGGAGAAGCTTCCATTCTTCTGGAATTTTAACAAAGCCTCGCTGATTGAATATATAAAACAGGTGCACCTAGGTTTGTAAGATTTCTCATTAATTCCTGTCGACACAAAATATAGCATCTGGCAAAACCTTTGGGTTGAGAAAACGCAAGCCCCTATTATGTTTTCTAGCTTGTAGCCTCATTTTCAGCACCAGAACCAATAGTTAAGAATTCTGTCTGCATGAATGCCTGCAGTGTGTGGGAAATGCGGCTCCTATCAGAGGAAGTGAGACGTATGTTACCTTAATGCAGGCTGTAAAATCCAGAACACTTCTGATTTTACATGTTGAATGACCCGGAAATCTGGCAAAAGAGCAGGAAAACAGGTTGTTACTCTGTTGCATCATCACCCATTTAGAAAAAGCCAAGTTTGCTCGTCACTCGCCACACGCTGTCAAGACCCAGAGAACACTGGACGTGGATTTTACATTTTTTCTGGAACTGAGGGGGTGACCTAGCGGCATTAGCTTCAACCTGTCCCAGCCCTCAACTCTGCCAAATGACCTGGCAGTGGAAATCTCCCCAGCCGGTCTTTTGACGGCTGGCTGGCCTTTCTCACGATGGACAGACTAAATGTGGCAGAGCATAGTTCTCAGACATGTGTGGTGGACCCACCAGGAGGGTTTTTTAAACACATGTGGCCATGCCCCATCTGTGTGTCCCTGCGTGAGTGGGTCTCAAATGGTGAACATCTGCCCAGGGGATGCTGATGCTGCTGGTCCAGGGACCACACTTGAGAACCACTGCACTAGAGAAACACACTGCTTGTGATGAGGATGGAGTCAGGCACAGTCCAAGTTTATTGAACCGGTCTGGGCCTCTTCGGGCAGGGTGTGGACAGCTCTTCTGTTTTGCCAGAGTTAAAGATATTTTTCTCTGTTAAAATGACTTGAGGGAAGAAACATATCAGGAAGTGGCACAGTAGTCGTGCTACCACATCAAGCCAAAGTGGAGGGTGTTTGTGTTGAAGAGGTTTACATCATGGGTCTGCTGCACAATTGCATAATTCCTGGAATTTTCTGCATGCTTCACACCAAAGCTTTCCACCTGCTAAAAAGAGATGGAGGGAGCTGAGAGAGGGAAAAGTCAGAAGCACAGGGGTCCAGGGCTGAGTACAAGGACAATTAGGGGCTTCCCTTGGCCACCCCTCCCCCTCCATACCCACGTCCCCAACCCCCAGTGCCCCCGACCCTGAACACGAGATTATTAGTGAGCTCACAGGGTTGTGTTGAACCAGTTGGTTGCATGAGCTTGAGAAGGTTTTTAATAATCCAGAGCCTTAGCTTCTGCACCTGTAAAACTGTGGTGGTGACGCTGCCTGCCTCGTGGAGTTGATGTGTGGATCCGTGAGAAAGCGCACATTAGGCACTGAGCATAGAGCCTGAAATATACTCACTGCTCAGTAAATATTTGCTCCTGTTATTAGCAACAGGACCCCAACAATCGAGTCCCTGCTTCCAAGCAACCTTGTGATTATAATTTTGTTTCCCAGGCAGTTTGCCCAACCATGTGACAGAACTATTGATTTCCTTGCATAGATAAGTATCTTATTGTAAATGAAGACGTGGGCATTTCTGAGTTGTGTTTCAGATTTCATGGAATCCACCCATGGCACTCTTGCAGTACAGCTGCAGACTGGGTGAACAACTTGGGAAGGAAGGAATGGGTTCAGACTGTCATCTATGCGCTCTCGTTTTGATCATATGTGCTACAAATGGAATATTCAGCAACAAACCAATTTAAGCTGTAAATCACATTTAAACTGACTGTATTTTAAGTTACATCAGAAACAAGTTTACTGAGTCCCAGGTCAAGATGATGATGTAGGAGGATCCTGAACTCGCCTCCTCCTGTGGACACTCCATGTCTACAGCTACATAGGGAAGAATTTCCTCTGAAAGAAACCCAAAAACTACCTGAGCAACTCCTACACCTTAGGCAAATGAGAAAAAACTCATCAAAATAGGTAGGAGAGGCCAAGACACAGTCTCACCATAAACTCCATCCCTGGCATGGTGCCCACCATCAGGAGGGGACTTACAACTCCACGCTTCTCCCTGAGGAGCAAAGGGTGTGCACCCCTCAGCTAGCACCCCAACTGTGAAGACCTACACCCAAGACGAGCCCCCAAAACATCTAGCTTTGAAAGCCACGGGGTTTACATCCATGAGACCCGCAGGCTGCAGCAAACTGAGAACCGCTTGTGCCCACGGTCTCACCTGGCTACCACCAGCAAGGCAGCCAACTGAAAAGTGACCCGTCTTCCTGTGAAAAAGGCCTATTCCCATGTCTTCATAGTGGTGGCCTGAGGGGTAGGCTTTTAATTAAACACACATCGAGGGACCAACTACAATGCTCTTAAGACAAGGGAGGGTGGCAGGTGCCATCTTCACGCTCTCCCTCTGCTCCACCCCAGGTCCCCAGTGTCTCCAAGAAAGGATCTTGTGTACACATCTCTTGATCACCTGGTACTGTTGGCCAGCAGGGCTTGTGTTCACAGGCAAACAAATAAATAGTTCTTAACTAGCTATCACCCCAGGGCTCAGTGCAGAGGGAACAGACAGAAAGTGCTCATCTCCCAGTCTTCCCCTGAAAGAGGTATATTGCATACCTTAATAGCTGCTGCCTGAGGGCCTGGCTTCCCATCAGCCTGAATCTAGATGTTGACTAAGATCCTCCCCTTTGGGACGGTGACAGGTCTTGGCACACCCTCAACTACTGGAAACCACTAAAAATAAAGCCGGCTGCTTGGCCAAGCACAAAGATATGAGAGGCAACCAAGAGATAGGAAAAGGTTGAAGGATAAGGTTCATCTCCTACACGAGTCCATGCCTTCAAGACGGGAGAGGAGGCTATTTTATCTAATGCATTAAAACCAATACAGTCAAAGAAAATGAAGAAACAGGAATATGTTCCAAACAAAAGAATAAAGTAAAACCTCAGAAAGACTTTAATGAAACAGAGGTAAGTGATTTACCTGATAAAGAGTTCAAAATAAAGGTCATAAAGATACTGAGTTCAGGAGAAGAATGCATGAACAAAATGAGAATTTCAACAGAGATAGAAACTGTAAGCCAGCACCAAATAGAAGCCACAGAGCTGAAGAATACAATAACTGAATTGAAAGATACACTACAGGGGCTCAACAGCAGACTAGATGAAGCAGAAGAAGGGATCAGTGAACTCAAAGACAGGGCAGTGGAACTCACCCAGTCAGAGCAGCAAAAAGAATGAAAAAGAATGAGATAGCTTAAGAGACTTATGAGACAGCATCAAGTGGACCAGTATTCACATTATAGGGTCCCATAAGGAGAAGAGAGAAAGAGGCAGAAATCTTATTTGAAGAATTAATGGCTGACAACTTCCCTAACCTGGGAAAGGAAAAAAACATCCAGATCCAGGAAGCCCAGAGAGTGCCAAACAAGATGAACCCAAAGAGACCCACACCAAGACACATTATAATGTAAGTGTTAAAAGTTAAAGACAAGGAGAGAATCTTAAAAGCAGAAAGAGAAAAACAACTACTTACATACAGGAAACTCCCATAAGACTATCAGCTGATTTTTCAGCAGAAACTTGGCAGGCCTGCAAGGAGTCGTGTAATATATTCAAAATGATGAAAGAAAAAAGTTCCAGCCAAGAATACTGGGAAAGTTGTCTTTCAGCATTGAAGCAGAGAGAGTTTTCCAGACAAGCAAAAGCTAAAGGAGTTCATTACCACTAACCCAGCCTTAGAAGAAATGTTAAAGGGACTTCTTTAAGCTTACATGAAAGGGCAATAATTAGGAAAACATAGGAAGGTATAAATCTCACTGGTAAAGGTATAATATATAGTAAAATTCATAATAATTAATGTTGTAAAGGTAGTGGATTAATCACTTATAAAGCTACTATGAAGGTTAAAAGATAAAAGAGTAGAAAAATAACTATTGGTACAATAATTTTTTAATGGGACAACAGATAAAAAGATATAAATTGTGACATCAAAATCATAACACATGGGCAGGGAAGTAAAATTGTAGAGCTTTAGAATACATTCAAACTTAAGCTGTTATCAACATAAAATAGACTGTTATAAATATAAGTAGTTTTATGGAAGTCTCATGGTAACCACAAAGCAAAAACCTAGAGCAGGTTTTTACAAAAGAGAAAGAGAAAGGAATCTAAGCATACTACTATAGAAAATCATCAGATCACAAAGAAAGCAAGAAGAAAGGAACAGAGGAACTAGAAGACAGCCAGAAGACAATTACCAAAATGGCAACAAGTACATTACCTATCAATAATTACTTTAAATGTAAATGGACTAAATTCTCCAATCAAAAGACAGAGAGTGGCTGAATGGATTAAAAAACAAGGCCCTTCTATATGCTGCCTACAAGAGACTCACTTCAGATGTAAGGACAGACACAGACCAAAAGTGAAGGGTTGGAAAAATATATTCCATGCAAATGGAAACCAAAAGAAAACTGGGGTAGCTATACTTATGTCAGACAAAATAGACTTTAAGACAAACACTGTAAAAAAGATCATTATATAATGATAAAGGGGTCAATCCAACAAGAAGATATATTTTAAATATTTACACACCCAAAATAGGAGCACTTAAGCATATAAAGCAAATATTAACAGACCTAAAGGGAGAAATACACAGCAATGTAATAATAGGGGACTTCAATACTCCACTTTCATCAATGGATAGATCAGACAGAAAATCAGTAAGGAAACATGGCCTTAAATGATATATTAGACCAGATGGACTGAACAGACATATAGAGAACATTCCATCCAAAGAACAGAGTACACATTCTTCTCAAGCACACATGGACCATTCCCCAGGGTAAATCATATGGTAGGCTGCAAATCAAGTCTTAATAAATTTAAGATTGAAATCATCAAGCATCTTTTCTGACCACAATGGTATAAAACTAAAAATCACTTATAGGAAGAAAACTTGAAAAAACCCAAAAAAGTAGAAGTGAAAGAACATGCTACCAAACAACCAATGGATCAAAGAAAAAAATCAAAAAATACCTTGAAACAAATGAAAATGGAAACACTACATACCAAAACTTAGGGATACAGCAAAAGCAGTTCTGAGAGCAGAGTTCCAAGCAGTCCTATTATCCCAAGAGGTGCAGAGAAAGCATTTGGCAAATGTCAATATATATTTATGATTTAAAAAACTCTCAAAGTGGGAATAGAGGGAACATACCTCAACATAATAAAGGCCATATATGACAAGCCCACAGCTAACATCATACTCAGTGGCGAAAAACTGAAAGCTTTTTCTCTAAGATCAGGAACAAAATGAAGATCCCCACTCTCACCACTTTTATTAGTATTGGAAGTCCCAGCCAGAGCAATTAGGCAAGAAAAAGAAATAAAAGGCATACAAATCAGAAAGGAGGAAGTAAAACTATCACTATTTGCAGTTGAAATATTATATATAGAAAACCCTAAAGACTCCAACAAAAACTGTTAGAACTAATAAACAAATTTAGTAAAGTTGTAGGATACAAAATCAATATTAAAAAATCTTTTGCATTTCCGTACACTAATAACAAACTATTAGAAAGAAAAATTCAGAAAACAATCGCATTTACAGTTACATCAAAAAGAATAAAACATCAAAGTGGTGAAAGACCTGTACACTGAAAACTATAAGACACTGACGAAAGAAAGTGAACACAAATGAATGGAAAGTTATTTTGTGTTCATGAATTAGAAGAATTAATATTGTTAAAATGTTCATAGTACCCAAGGCAATCTACAGATTCAATGCAATCCCTGTCAAAATTCCCACAGTATTTTTCATGGAAATAGGACAAAAATCCTAAAATTTGTATGGAACCACAAAAAACCCTGAATAGCCAAAGCAATCTGAGAAAAAAGAACAAAGCTGGAGGTATCATGCTTCCTGACTTCAAACTATACTACAAAGCTATAGGAGTCAAAACAGTATGGTATTGGCATAAAAAAAGACACACAGATCAATGGAACAGAATAGAGAGCCCAGAAATAAACCCATGCATATATGGTCCATTAATTTAGGACAAGGGGCCAAGAATCTACAATGGGAAAAGGACAATCTCTTTAATAAATGAGTTGGGAAAGCTGGATAGCCACATGCAAAAGAATGAAACTGGACCACTCTCTTACACCACACACAAAAATTAACTCAAAATGGATTAAAGACTTGAATGTAAAACCTGAAACCATAATATTCCTGGAAGAAAACATAGGCGGTAAGCTCCCTGACTTCAGTCGTGGTAATGATTTTTTGGATTTAACACCAAAAGCAAAGGCAATAAAAGCAAAAAAATCCCAAGTGGGACTACATCAAACTAAAAAGCCTCTGCAGCAGAGGAAATCAACAAAATGAAAAGGCAGCCCACCAATGAAAGAAAATATTTGCAAATCATATATCTGAAAAGGGATTAATATCCAAAATATATAAAGAACTCATACAACTCAACAACAAAAAACAATCCAATTAAAAAGTGGCTAGAGGATCTGATTAGACATTTTTCTAAAGAAGACATACAGATAGCCAACAGGTATGTGAAAAGATGCTCAACATCACTAATCATCAAGGAAATGCAAATCAAAACCACAATCAGTTATTACCTCACCCAGGACAGGATGGTTATTATCAAAAAGACAAGAATCAAGTGTTGGTGAGGACGTGGAGAAAAGGGAACCCTTGTGCACTACTGGTGAGAATGTAAATTGGTGCAGCCACTATGGAAAACAGTATGGAAGTTTCTCAAAAAGTCAAAAATAGAACCACCATATGATCTCGCAATTCTACTTCTGGGTACTTATCCAAAAGAAACAAAAACACTACCTTGAAAAGATATCTGCACCCCTGTGTTCATTGCAGCATTATCTGCAATAGCCAAGACATGGAAGCAACCTAAGTGCCCACTGATGGATAAATGAATAAAGAAAATGTGATACACACCCACAATGGAATACTATTCAGCCGTTAAAAAAAGAAGGAAATCCTGCCATTTGCAACAACATGGATGGACCTTGAGGGCATTTTGCTGAGTAAAATAAGTCAGATAGAGAGAGACAAACACTATATGATCTCACTTATATATGGAATCTAAAAGAAAAAAAACCTCATAAATACAGAGAACAGATTGGTGGTTACCAGAGGTGGGGGGTGGGGAGTGGGTAAAATGGATGAAGGTGGGCAAAAGGTACAAATTTCCAGTTATAAAATAAATAAATCCTGGGGATGTAATGTACTGCATGGTGACTATAGTTAACAATACTATACTGCATATTTGAAGTTTAAGTGAGTAAATCTTAAAAGTTTTCATCACAAGAAAAAATCTGTAAGTATGTTAATGATATATTGTGATCATTTCACAGTATATACATATATCAAATCATTATATTGTACATCTGAAACTAATACAATGTTATATGTCAGTTATCTCTCAATTTTTTAAAGAAGTTTACTTTCCCTTCTCAAACACTTTATTAACTTAGCTAATAAATATTGAGCATATTTTTATTAAATAATTACAAAAATCATTTTTCATATGCCATGAAACATGGTATTAACATTTAATTCTCTTTTTGTCTTGCAGGTGTAAAGGGTCAAGTTTTTGATCAGAATGGAAATCCATTACCCAATGCAATTGTAGAAGTCCAAGACAGAAAACATATCTGCCCCTATAGAACCAACAAATTTGGAGAATATTATCTCCTTCTCTTGCCTGGGTCCTATATAATAAATGTGAGTATACATCCTAGTTATTATTATTAAAGTATTAAAGAACTCACAATACTTACTCACCCAGTAGGAATCTAAATAAGTCTGGAAAGTCCCGAAGTAGATTCATGAGGACAGAAGGAAAGGACGTCAGACCTGCATTTGGCGGGAGTGGGAGAGGTTGGAATGATGGTAACAAACAAAAAAGTCAGGTTTTTTCCCAACTGGCAATTAATTTTTTTTTAATAGAAGCCAAATCCTATTTCTTGTGATACCTTTTTTTTTTTTTTTTTAAGATTTTATTTTTTCCTTTTTCTCCCCAAAGCCCCCCGGTACATAGTTGTGTATTCTTCGTTGTGGGTTCTTCTAGTTGTGGCATGTGGGACGCTGCCTCAGCGTGGTCTGATGAGCAGTGCCATGTCCGCGCCCAGGATTCGAACTAACGAAACACTGGGCCGCCTGCTGCAGAGCGCGCGAACTTAACCACTCGGCCACGGGGCCAGCCCCTTGTGATACCTTTTTTTAAAAAAAGGGGACAAACCTTATTAATAGTAATTAAACAAGAAGGTCGAAGTACTTCCAAGCTTCATGGAATACCATTTTAATGCCCAGTCCATGAAACATAATTTCTGCTATTAAAAAATAGATTGGGACACAAGTAAAACTTGATCCACAAATGCTACCATTCTATTAAGCAAGTGATAGACATATTTTGCAGCCCTTTCATAAGCAAATGATGGTGAGTTTTCCAATCGTGCGTGTAAAATTCCAGGTAAGCTGTGTGTTTCTGAGTCATTCCTTCCTAGGAGGAGGCATGGACTGGTCTAGCCCGAGTAGATTTACGTCCATGAACTAAATGAATAAGTACCTGATTTAGTTGGGCAGATTGTGCCTCTCCTCTTTGATAGGATTTCTCTAAGAAACTCAAGACTCTTCTACTTTGCTTAAGTGGGTCTGATGCCAAGCACAGCGACTGTCTGTACAGAGCTACTCCTGGGAGAAGGTCATCATCATTCTGTAGTCAAAACTGGCTTCGTATTTCACTACTGCATCATTAGGACATAATAAAAGGCATGGTTTTCAGTGTATAAACTGGGATGCAGGGTCTCCCTGCTCACAGGTCACCCCCACAGCCTCCTCTCGAGACTCTCTCCTCCTCCTGAGAAGACGGAGAGAGTGGGAAAGACCTCAACTCAATGTGAATCTACCTAAAAAGACCCTTTATTTTCTTATTATTTACTGGGACATTCCTAATCTATTGAAAAAAAGGGTTTTCTTTGTAGTGAATCTAAGTTATTTTTATGCAACTCCATATAGGCCACACCTTTTATAAAGTTATGAATTGTTCATTTCCAAGTAGGTAGACTAACACAGTCCACGTTGGCTCTGGCTGCTAGTTCTAGGACAAGACTGGGAGACAAGACTCTGGAAGCTGAAATGAATGGCTGAAGACCAGTGAGTGGTTATGTAAACGTCATTCCCTCTCCCACATATGTAATAAAAGCATTTTTCAGTGCACGTGACCTATGGTTAGTTTAGCATTTGTCCCATTTTTCCTGATCATTTCCTCCACCAAAAAGACAAATCTAGCTGAAGATTCAGACTCATGAACAAAACCAGGTAAAATCCAAGCTTTTTAAGGAAGCAAGAAACTTGGACACTTAGATGAGCTGCAAGGAAAATGGAATAAATTGAGAAAAGAATATTAGGGACAGCCTGGGGCCGCAGCCCTCTCTTTACCTCTGCTCTCCATGAAATGAGAGGGCAGAATCGGTCTATTGCTTCCTTCTCCTGACTTGTCTCTCCAGAGAAGGGACCTGTCTTCATTTCACGTTGTAATTCTTAGCGACAACATCAACCGCTGTGGTCCATCCCAACAGGCACTGGCTAACTCCTTCAGCCAGCGGGCCTGAAGCGTTACTAGCCGTGAGGCCTGGCCGATGGTTACACGTCTCAGAGAGGCCGCACTGTGGTGTGGATATCGGTGTCTTCAGTGCTGGCAGCACCAAACATCTGCAGTCACTCAGATAATTGTTCCTTGTTTCCCCTCAGGTTACAGTCCCTGGACACAGTCCGCACCTCACAAAGGTGATTATTCCGGGAAAATCCCAGAACTTCAGTGCTCTTAAAATGGACATTTTACTTCCATTCAGAGGACAACTGGATTCTATCCCAGAATCAAATCCTTCATGCCCCATGACTCCTCTGTACAGTGACTTGCCAAGCCACTCGGCTGCAACAAAGCCCGGTCTGTTCTTGTTTTTGGTGACTCTTTTTCACCTGTTGTTCAAGTAAAGCAAAATCTGAGACTCAGCCGCCATTACCACCTGGCATCGGGGACTGCTCACTGCCCCTCTCACTCCTGGGGGACCTCGACCAGGTAACCGCCATGGTCCCTCCCTAAGGAGAGAAGCGGTTGTTTCCAAACCCTGCGACAAGAAGTGTGTGGCGGTGATGGTGAAGGGAAGACGCCTACCTGGCGAGCACTGCCCCCTTACACCTCACCTGGAAGTTGTCTCAGAGACTTGTAAGAAGTTAAACTTGAGAAGCAAAAAAGAAGTTCCTGCAAGAAAAAAAGGAGCTCCTTTTGTAGACAGGGAGCCAGATGAATATGGGCAATGAAGATGAACATTTATCGATCGCCTCCTACATGCAAGACCTTGCCACGAGTGCCACCTGTGAAGAGATGGTGCCATGTGTAATCAGTTCTCAGCACGGGGAGAAATGGTGATGGGCCGGGAATATTTGGTTTCACTAATAAGGAACAAAATAAGGAAATATGAGAGAAAACAGGTCAACCGTGTCTCAGTGGCCAAGAAGATACAGGCCTGACGGGATGACAAGGTTGTGTCTGCAGAGCCCCAAAGCAACAGGTCGGTTAAGTAAGTGTCCCCGCCTTTCTGCACCTGATGCCACAGTCCTGTAATGCTGACCACCCCAAGGCGTGACTCTCACCTCTGGCCTGAGCTGCAGACTCACGTCGACTGCCCGCTGGACCTATCACCCGGGTGTGACCCACAGGTACCTCAAACTCATCGTGTTGAAAATTGAACACACTTTTCTCCCTAGAGTGGCTGTTCCTCCCATCTTCTGTCTCAATTCCTGGCCCCACCAAACTAGAAACCTGGGAGTCATCCTTGACACTTCCTCCTCCCTCTTCACCCGACAGATGCAGCCACTGAAGACGCATGCTCATTACGAATGTTGATCGACTCTCCCCTCTCTCCATGGCTACTGACACGGCCAAGTGCGGGCCGTCGTAGCTCGCCTCCACCACTGCAGCCGCTTGCCTGGTCTCTTGACCCCAGGTTCCTCCCCTTCAGATCCATCCTCCACGCAGCACTGGGGAAGGGGGTCTATTTAGAACAAAAATCAACAACCAACTGCTTGTAGTTGCCACGCTCACACCGTGGGTCTGGATCCCTTGTCTGGAATGCCCTCTGACCAACCCCTCCAGGAAGCCTCTGCTGAGCATCACCCCGTTCCATTCCATTCCACCCTCCCAGTCCATCTGGGGACCCTTCCTCTTTGCTCCCCAAATTAAATGGGTCACCTCTGTTTTTGGATTTACATACTGTATTATGGTCTACATGTGTGATTTTCACTGGTAAAGGTGAGCTCTTTGAGACCTGGCTATGTTTAATTTGTTTGAAAAATTCGATCTTAGCTCCTGAGCCTTGCAGTCAGTAGGAACTGAATGAATGAATGAATGAACGGTTCCAGCAGCCTGCTCCCGTCTCTTCCAGAAACTGTACAAAGCTTTGAAAGTCATTTTATGAAACTAGGTCCTATGCTTTGGCAGTCTCCTGCTCACTGGTAACACTGACAGAGGACTGTTTGCATGTGTATCGAGAAATTAATTCAAATACCTGCTTTTACCGGACTGCGCATTTAATGTAAAGGTATTACATTACCTGTTAACAACACTACAAGCACCCTTTTTTATCAGGAAACAAAATTTTTACCATTAGTACTCAATTTGAAGCAACTGTTCTCCACTGGAATGAGAGTTAACCTTTCTTAAAACATTATATGTAAGAATTAAGGAGGGGCAGCATCAGACAGACGTAAGAGCAATTCTGGTGAGCAGGTTTCTGAGTGCTGTGTGTTGCTCATGGGAGGCGAGTTTCCTTGGCGCTTGCTTTAAACTGAAAGTTCCTAGGATCTGAACAGGAAACTGTGCTGGGCTCGTACCTGGTGGATGCTTGAGCAGCACAACGGAGGGGAGACACACGGGCATTCGGGAGCTACTCCTGTGCAAGCCTCTGCTACATGCACAGAGCCATACATGTTAACAGAAACAGAATTTGTAGACTTTTAATCACATCTTTTAAATTTGGTAATAACCTGAATACTTTGATCATTTTTATTTAAATAACCAGTAATTTATTATATACTTGAAAGTGAATATTAATATAATATTGCAGAAAGTGATTTTGGTATAATACATATAGAACTATATAAAACTACTTGATTTATCAAAGCCTCATCAATTTTCCAATCAGGCGTTCTGAGTTCTAACTTTTCCTTTTCCAAGAAAGCAATTTTTGAAGGGACATGAACCAAAATCTGAATTGGTTCATGAGCCTTAATGTAAATTCCTTAAGGAAATAATGTTTTTAAAATCAGAAATTTTACCTGAAGCAAACCTAAAATCATTTAGAGACAAGCAAAACAATTAGAATAATCTCCAAACCAAACGTAAGGCAAACCTGAATTTAATTCAGAGCAGGTTTGGGGTACCTATTTTGTGGTGATGGCCCTGTGCTCACAGGTCCAGTTAGTGGCCAGGGTTTAGTATGTAGAACCCCAGCTCCACCCCCACGCATCGAGTGAGGCGTCAGAGGGGAGAAACCAACGTGGAGCTCTGACCGTAGTCCGCTCAGACCTCAGTGCCCCTGCATAACGCCTCTCCTACCGTCCGCACCCTTCCAGGCTGGGCCTGTGGGCCTCGCGTTCCAGGCTCAGGTGTAATTCCTTTTGTGGAGACGCCAACCCAGCAAAGGTCTTCAAGATGGGAGAGAAGACGACGGCATGTGGGGTAAAAGGATAAGTAGGAGGCAGGAGCCCTGGGTTCAGACCCCTACTTCCAGTTCCCTGACTTGTGAAATGAAGCCCTCTCCACTGTGGCTCTGGACGCTGCAGTGTCAGATGCCACACTTCGCCGCCGTTTTTGGTGCTTGCCCAGGTGGAGGAAGGACAATTAACACTCAGGTGGCATAAGTCTTTTGAAGGCAGTATAACATAACTTATTAAAGACCAAATTTTTTGCCTCAGATATAAACAGAATTTGCCTGAAAAACATTTGTTAGCTAGAATGATCACTGCATAATATTTAAGCAAATTTTCATGAAGTAACACAGCTTTTTTCATGTACCTACTCAAGTGATGATAAATGTTAACATGAATGCATCTAAATGGGGGGAGTGTTTTAGAGAAACCTTGAGCAGGTAAGTGCCTGTTGATTTCGCTGCTTACTGTGTCACCTTCAGACTTGCGCTGTTGGATACGTCAGAAACGTCAGTATAGGAAGTTAGCTCTACCTTTAGAAACTACTTATATCTGACATTGGATTGGAAATAGCTTTTCCTAGGGAATCCAGAAAAATGAGCGTAGCATACCGTCTCCTTGCAACAGGAGAAGCTGCTGACGGAGAAGCATGGTTCTTACTCTACACGGTGACGATACAGTTGATGTCTGTTTTATGACAGGTCCTTTCTATCTTCCTCATGACTTTAGATGGAGGGAGGAGGAGAGAATGAGGATGGTTAAAGAGCAAAAAAAAAAAGGTCAAAGCACCTAACAGAGAAGTTTGGGAAAGGGGCTGACTTCTTCACGTCACCAAGCAGCAGGGACTGGACTGGGCGGGACTGCTCACAAACTGCCTGGTCAGACTTTAGCACAAGAACAACTCCACAGCCTCGCGGATGCTTCCAAGCTGATTTTACAAGTTTTCTCAGTGACTTTCTTTTGTACTACAATTAACTTAAAATGCACAAATTGTCTAAGACTGTAAAGTTTTATTGGGCAGGGGCCATGACTACCTCTGAATTCACTAAATTTACAATATTTCTGATTCTCAATAAAGAATTAATATTCATGTAAATAATGAATGCTGGATTTTTTGTGAGGAAGATTGTCACTGAGCTAACATCTGTGCCCATCTTCCTCTATTTTATGTGGGACGCCACCACAGCATGGCTTGATAAGGGAGCGGTGCTAGGTCCATGCCCAGGATCTGAACCTGCAAACCCCAGGCCACCAAAGCAGAGCACATGAACTTAACCACTACGCAACGGGGCCAGCCCAGAATGCTGTTTCTCTCCATAACATTCCCTTGAAAAGAAGTACTTTTGCAAGTACAACAAAGTCCATAGACTAGAGAGGACTGATTACCACCAAATAAAGCCCGAGAAAGAACAAATGTAATGACCTTTTATGAGGCAATAATATTATAATAACTCTTCCAAGCCCAGATAGTCCTTCCAGAACAGTTTTTATGGTATCAACCCATCCTAATATGCATGTTATATTCCAAGTTAATTTGTACATGGAGCAGACGATGGATGAAATGTGCGCCTTCTGGTAAAAAGAAAAACAAAACAAACTTTGGAACATTCGCAATGCACATTACTGTAGTAAAGGATCTAAAAAACCATGCAAGAAAGAAATGGATTTCCCAAACAGTTAGCCAAGGAACCATTTTCTTAAATAATTTAGCCTAGTACCATTCCTTTGAACTTACATTCCTAGATTTCCAAACACATTTTTGGAAATGCTGATATAGGGAGAAATTTTTTGTCCTGAATAATAAATGTTATTGATTTCAAAGTGCCTTTGAAACACAGAGCATAGTTATAAACAGAGAATCTGCCTGCTGTGGGAACTGGAAAAGTGACAGCCCTCACGCTCACCCACACAGCCCTGATAATGTAGAGTTTCCAATAGGACAGAGGTCAGGCTCAAGGGTACGTCCAGCCTCTGAACCACACTAAAGAAGCAACAGAAATGAGAAAGGCTGCGGAGGAAATGGCTAGCCTACAGGTACCAACTTCTAAAAAGTGATAAATATTGCAATTTGGAAAATAAACTGGGAACAGTTTTTCTGTTTTCAAAAGAAAACTTATTATATAGGAACCCCTTGGTGTATTTTAGCCAGACATCAATATTTAACGTGCAGCTCCTTAGAGCATCCATTACTCCCCACCTGCCACCCCTAAAAGCAAGGCATGATTTTTAAATGAACGAAATTTTACTTTTTTTTTTTTTTGAGGAAGATTAGCCCTGAGCTAACATCCGCCGCCAATTCTCCTCTTTTTGCTGAGGAAGACTGGCCCTGAGCTAAGATCCGTGCCCATCTTCCTCTACTTTATATGTGGGATGCCTGCCACAGCATGGCGTGACATGCGGTGCATGGGTCCACGCCCGGGATCCAGGCTGGCGATCCCTGGGCTGCTGAAGGGGACTGTGCGAACTTAGCTGCTGCGCCACTGGGCCGGCCCCTGAATGAATGAAATTTTAAAATATTAGGCATACGAAAAACAAGTGAACGAAAGAAAGCATAAACAAGTAATCAGCCTATTTTGGGAGAATAGAATGTTTTAGTTTCTCCTGCTTCATTTTTGAAATTTTCTACTTACTAATTTTATAACGAAAGAAAAGCAACTGATTTAAAGAACGGAACCACAAGTTTTAGAAGCCCCAGTTTACACAAGTAACTGCTACACCTATTCTTACATATTCATGAAACATTTCCAGAGTTTATACTTAACTAACAGTTGACTAACTTAGGTCAAAGTTAATAACACTTTCCTCCTAATTGAGCAAGGACATCTGTGCTTCAAACACTTACGCGTAGTATTTTTCTTCAGTGCTCATCTCACGAGGCTCTGAGGGATGAGCCGTGAAGGATTTCAGGACTGAAATGGGAAGTCTGTGTTTTCTCTAAAAACTGAGACCAGAACTCCTGCCACTTCTTTGCTGTCTAGCCCGGCGACCTCTCCTCCGCGGTTCAGCGTCCCCCTACATTAGTGGGTGCCGTGGAGAACTCCCGATGTGGTGCTGCCTTGGGTTAAAACGGTGCTTAACTAAAGAGATCTGGTCTTCTGACATGCCTCTTTAAAAAGAAACAAAATAAATGATGGTGAGAAAAGTATTTTTTTATACAGAGGGAAGCTTTGTTTTTTAAGGAAGCTTTCCCAGTTCTGTTACATTTCTGACACCCCATCAACTTTTAAAGACCGTTGTTTCCTTAGAATGTTTCTCTTCTGCCATTTAAGGAATTTATTGCATGGACGATATTTTCTCAGGTGTTTTTAAACTGTCTTTTCCTCTTGTAGAGAAGACGCACAGCTGCTTTCCTTCAATCCACAGCCTTTTCCAAAAGCCGGCTGTGCCCACAGTGTGTTCTGTCAGGCACCCGGGGAAGGAGATACAAAAGGAGAGAAGATACACAGCGACATGTCAGGGAACATAAGGGGACAGTATCTCAGGGCTGGGGCCCTGTGGAACCAGAGACAGGGTTAATGAAGGCCACCTCAGCTGGGTGTTGGAAGTGGTGATGGCCGTTGAATGGAGGCAGGCGGAGTATTATTCAACAACTGCCAGTGTTAGAAGTTCTGCTAGCCGCCAGACCCCATCTGAGACTCCAGCCACCTCCTGTCTCTGCTTCTATCATGGAGCAAGGAAGTTCCAGATCTGCTCTTTGAAGTTAGCCCTTCCCACTCCACCAGGATGAACATGAAAAGGAGTCATGGGAGAGGGGAGGCAAGAAAAGGTAAAAAGGGTAAGAAGAGAATGGTGAGAAGAAAGCACCCATTTCAGAGAGAGCTCTGAAGTCCAAAACGGTCAGGCAGAACATTTGAGCTAATATCCAACAAGCAATAGAATTATTGAAGGTTTTTTTCAATATTTACATCAGGGGAGCGACATGAAGATATCTATAAAATAATCTACAAATGCACCAAAACTGGGGGACACCAAAGGCAGTGAAGCCCATTTCGGCAGATGTACCATGATCTTGGAGAGGGGGTAATCCAGGGTATGGCCTGGGAAGGTGTGAACCAAACACACACGCACGAAAGTGCTAAAATTTAACCAAGACAAAAAATGAAATTCACATAACATGACAGTAACGTGAAAAATAGGAAGAGTTGAAACTTTGGAATCTGGAACGTGAATATTTTGGTAACTTACGTTGCCGGCAGAGCACGTACGCATGGTATTCTGGAGGCAGGTCCGGGGACTGAAACAAGGACCAGAGGAGGCCCAGCGCTTCAAAGGCGCCGTGGCCTTCAGGAGGTTTCCGGCGCTCCTGAAACAATCAGTTAGGGTTCTCTTATCCAGAGTACTAATATTCTAAGACGTCATCATCAGGGCGGCGGGAGCGGGTCCCTTTGTGTCCCCTCCAACTTCCAGTGAGGGGCACATCCCTAACCCAACCAGGGCCACGCTGCCGCCGCCGGGGGCGGGAGGGATGCGCACGTGGTACACAGAAGGCGGGGCTCGGAGAGGGGACCCGACAGCGGGGAGCGGGGAGCTGGGATCCTGACCCCCGACCCCGAGAAGCCGGCGGGCACCAGCAGGGGCGCCTGACGGTGGAGGTGGGGCACGCGATCGCCCCCGGCCCACCAGCTTCCCGCCCCGGGACCGGACGGCGGAGGGGGCCCGGGCCTCCCGGGGCGCAGGTGAGACGCAGAGCCCGCCTGCGGGGACCGGGGACCCGCGCTCCACCGGGCGGACGGCGAGACCCCAAACCGGCAGCGCTCCCCCGGGGCGGGTCCCCGACTCAAGGGCGCCCGCAGGGAGGAGCCAGCAAGCGCACGAAAGGCCGAATCGATGTTATTCCGGCAATATCTGAATGTCCCATTTCGGGGGCACTGTTGTCCGTGCCATCGAGTCCATTCTGCCTCCCGGCGACCGTGGGCACGCGCCTGTCAAATGTCACTCAGCACCTGGGGGCGCTCCCGGCTGCTGGTCGCTGCGCACGCGCTCCCATTTTCTGTTGCTTTTATTCCTGTAAACAGTCCATTTTACAATTTGTTAACACATTCAACATTTCTGAGTGCCTTCTAATGTGCTAGTGCTTTCAGATATTTTTGTTTTTAAATCGTTATTTGCAAATGTAAAAAACTCCGTATCATATAATTCAGAGCTGGCTATGGGACAAAAAGGCCACAAACTTTTAAACAATTGGTATTTTTTTTAAGCTGGTATTATCTTTTAATACCAAATAATTGGAATTATTTTTTAACAATTGGTATTTTTTGTAAATACCAAATCAAAACCCAATTCAGAGTCCAACCAACCAGTAAAGCCACAGACTTCTCACACCCCCAGGCATGAGGGCCCGCAGCTGGTGTCACGAGCCCACAGACCTACACACCAATCAGTACCTTTAAAACTCTTGTTAAAAGAAAAATCTAAACTAACTGACCCAGCAGCTCACCGCGGTCTGGCTCGGTGCCCCCAGGCTCCTGCTTTAAATCAGCTTCCGGACTCAAGTCACAATAAACTTAGTCAGCACCTGGATGTGTGTGTCACCATCAGGGAGAGGTTCTCCCCCCATGGCATTTAGCTCCACCAACGCAGAGAAGTCACGGGCAATTACAACAGGGCTTTCCCCACTGACAATCGGCAGGGTGCCCAGCCCTGACTCCTCCTCCTGCCACACCTACAGCCCCTCCAGAAGGTTCCCTAAAACTTGTGGAAAAACCGCTGAAGCCAACCTGCCACGTGGTAACACACGTGAACAGGACACGGAGGAAGCAGCATTTCGTGGCCCTGCCGCATCTAACATCATTCTCTCAGGCTGGTCTTAGTGCCTTGGAGATTCCGACGGCATCCCACTGCCCATTGATACGTGGACCTCCAAAGTGGGCAGACACGACCATTCCCAAAAAAGCAGCATATTCAGACTTATACCTTTGATTACCTAAATAGATGATATTCAAATACAATTTCTATTTTAACAAAACTCACTGTTAGGAAAAAACTGTAAGATCCAATAATCACATTCTTGAAACAATTCTTAATCAAACATTTAATAAATTGTTTATTTGTAAATTAATAAATAATATATGTATACTAAACCTAAAAATTTAGACAATCAAAGCTATATTAGTATGGATAGACATGCTGAATGAGATGCTATCCGCACACACTTGCATGGTTTTCTTTCTTCTTCTTCTTCTCCCCAAAGTCCCCCAGTATATAGCTGTATATTCTAGTTGTGCCTGCCTCTGCCCCTATGTGGGATGCCACCTCAGCGTGGCCTGATGAGCGGTGCCAGGTCCGCGCCCAGGATCCAAACCTGCGAAACCCTGGGCCGCCAAAGCGGAGCACGCGAACTTAACCACTCGGCCCCAGGGTGGCCCAAATGTTTTGTGAGTAGCATAATGACTGCATGACATACCCTGAATGTACATGTCTATCAACTCTCCTCAGAAAGGATCCTTCAGTTCTTGCTGAAGTATTGTAAGTCCCAAATTAATAACACTTCCCTGTATGTGAGGACCACCCGCTGAGGCCCAACCCACACACGTGCACAAGGGAAGTCCCGCGTGTGCAGTCTGTCTTCACAGCTTAACACACCGTGCTGTGCAGCAGTACCGTGCAGTTCTGTTCTAAACTTAGAGCTCAGCTGATTGTACTGTCCTCCCCCGAGTATGTCACATATGGGAGGAAGATACTGGGACCTTAAGTCAAAGTGGTTATTTTTGCTCTTTTGCTGAAGATTCATACTTAAAGATAAATGAAGATGTTAGTCTGTGAGTTCGAGGGCTATTTTAGAAGCCTGTGTTGCGATCCCGTCATTCTTGAAACAAAGTAGTGCAGCGTTTCTGCACCATCTGGAGAAAAGCTACAACACTTCCAGCTAGTTTAAAAACAGGCAGTCCTCCTGTTTCCTAAACTTCTGGGTTATTCTTCGTGAATTCAGTGGTTTCTACAAGTGGCCTTAAGCAAAGGTTTGAAACCCAGGGAACTCCCAGGAACCCTGGGCCCCGGCCCGAGAGCATTCTTCAAAGTGTCTCAGAATGGTTTTCCTCACAGGGGAAACAAGAGATTGCACTAATCCTGCAAAGAGGTGTGGCAAAGTCAGACCTGGAGCATAATTGCAAGCTGCACCGGGGGGGGGGGGGGCTTAAAAAAATTCAGTCTTAGGTACATGAGGGCTGCTCTCAAAGACTTCTCAACTGACACCACCCTCCCCACCCAGCCCTGACCATCCCCCAGAGGGTGGAGCACCTCTCTGCTTACATGCTTACATAGCACCAAATATAACTACTAATTCCTTCTTCGTGTGCCAGAGTATTTTAAGAGGCTCTGAAAGAGTAACTAAGGATCAGAAGGTTTAAGAGCATGTAAAATTTAAATATTATCTTTCATAATAACTTTTTCTCCTTACATGAGAGGCACTAAATAAATTACGTTTAAATGTCCTACTTATATTTTCTAAGGATTGGCTCCTGCTCATTTAAGAGAAAGTGGAAATTATTTAAAATAGGGGTGGGGTAAATGATGAGCTATATATCTAACTCAACTTACATTAAAACCCAAATATAAAATATAAACAGAAGTGAAATTTTCCTAAAAGGAAGTAAATATTCTCTATTCCCCCTGCTAAGACAGGTAAATTACACTGCAGAGAAGAAATCTACATGCACCAAGATAGGTCCCCACTTTGATATATGTAAAAAAATAAAAATGAATTTCATGTCTAAATGCTTCGGGCTACACAGTTAGAACTGTGTAAGTCTACTTTCAGGGCCAGCCCCGCTAGGGGAAGTAGGTCAGCACGATCATCTGAATGGGCTGCCTGCACACGGGGCACGGCTTGTTCCTCCTCTTCAGCTTCTTCGCGCACGTGAAGCACGCCATGAGGTGCCCTGTTTTGCCGTGGACGATGCACCCATTCTTTGGTCGACCTTGGCAAATCACACACGGCTCAGTGGCGTTGAGGGGCAGGCTGGCCTCCACGCTTTCCTCCTTGTCGGGTGCGTCTTCCCTCTCCAGCTCGCCGGGGCCTTCCTGGCTGCTGTGAGCCCCGCTGGTGGAAGCTGGCGGCTGGGAGCAGCCCTCACTCTCCTGGGACTGGGATGCCTGGGCGGCAGCAGCGTCGTCATCCTCAGTGCACGCTTCCCTGGGATGGCCCCCCTCGGTCTTCCTGCAGTCGGGGACATCAACGCCCTCCTCCCCGGGGCCGGAGCCTTCCGGGGCCACGATCCCGCTCCCGCTCCCAGGGGCCTTTGCTTTGCCTTCAGGAAGCCAGCTCTCACGAAGGGCCCAGCACCTGCTGCAGTGTGACGGCAGCGGGGGGTTCGTCTCGCCGCAGGAAGTGCACTTCCAGTAGTCCTTCAAGGAAACAAGACAGTGAGTCTCCGCGCCCTCGGGGACCTAGTCACAGCAGCACTAGCACCTCCGACGTCTCAGGTACCATGCATCACACAGCTCAATTTTCAGCATTTCATGTTTTATCTCAAACAGTCTTTCCTCAAGTATAAGGTTGTAAGTACATTTTTTTTTCAGCCAAACCATGCTGAAGAACCCTAAAACCAAACGTGTACTCGCCGTGATCTTGGTCACGTATCTATGCCGTGACTATTTGAGAACACACACGGTGCTGGTTCATTTAATGGAAGCAAGTGCTATGGGATCTCCTCCTTGGTGACAAGGCCTGTACCCACTCCAGCCTGACGGGGTCCCACAGGACTGCGCCCAGAGCCCACCCCATCAGTCTAGACGGAACTACCGCCCAACCTGCCACCAACGGAGACTCCCTAAGAAGTGCTCTGAACCAGGGCTCAAGCCAGTGCTCCCTAACTTCCTCCACAAAGGAAGTGCTAAGACATTCTTCTCAGCCATCACTGCCAGCTCAAATCTGTCATCTCTGTCACTTTCTAAAATGCACACCCTTCACAGTCCATCCTTCTTGTGTTCCTGTCTCTGTAACCGCTCCCTGCTGCTTCCTCACCCCACTGCCTACTCCCCAACCTTCCCACCATGCAATCTGGACAGCCTCCCATGCCCTGCCTCCTTTCTGAACATGTCCTCATCTACCTGCCTTAACTGAGGCACGGGTCTTGCCTGAGGACACTGGACACGTAGAACTTGCCACAAGGGGCTTCTCTTGCACAAATAATGTAACTCTTTTTAAACTGTCTGACAAATGACGTGAGACGTGAGCAGTAAGGATGGAGAGAGTTCATTCTCCCACTTGGTTATTCCATGTTCCCAAGGGAGGTTTCTACTAACCGATAAAATGAAAGGCAAAGGTCTTGAAATTTGGGGGGGGGGGGGGGGGGG